ACCTGCGGAACACCAGCCAGAGACCGCTGGCCGGCTCTGCCAACGGTGAAGCCTGTAAATGCAGACGTGGCACCAGCGTCCCAACTTTCCTCCGGGGCACCTCCGATCGTGCCAACAAGACCCAGCGCGCGGCAGCGCCATATTGCTCATCCTCCCCTCCGCGACCATACCCGCAGCTGCTCCAGAGGGAGACAATAAGCCCACCAGCCGGGAGGCACCTCCAGGGAACGAACCTTCCCGTTTGGGGACCACGCCCGGCACCTCCCAGGTGCTGGGCTGGCACCATTTCCCAGGAATGAATGTGCCGAACTCAGAGGCTAAGAAGACAAACAGACCCAGCTTGGGCTTCCGCTGTGGGGCTGAATTGAGGAACCGGAAATCCTCACCCCCTCGGTCGGGAATTACAGTCTTGAAACTCTGGGACCCAGAGGTCGGACCTGCAGGACCAAGATCCCCTTGCACCGAGGGGTAGCATTGCCCGGGGCACAGAAGGGTTATTCACGTAACAGCCTACTGAGGTGTGTGTTGCCTCCAGGGCGGATCGGCGTTCGCTAGAGGCAACCCTCCTCCCCAGGAAGGAGGCCGTGCGGCCCAACCCAGGTGTGCGTTCCTGTGCAGGGAACCTCCCCGCCGGCATTTCACAAGTCGGAGGGCCTGGTGGCTTGTGTCTGGGCCTGCTGGCAAGAGGCCCAGGAGTAGCGCGGATCTAGGGGAGGGTGGAAAGAAGCGAGGCCTGGCCTGCAGACTGTGGTTCTCCAGACAGCGCCCCCACCCCGACACACAGAATTTTCTGGCTGACAGCGGAACCATTCCAGGCCCCGCCCTGACAGCTTTCCCTGGAAGCAGAGAAAAAGAAACTTTGACCCCGCTAACGGCCTGAGGGCAGGCTTAACCCAAAACCCAGCTCCGCCAACGAAACGAGAGCTGATAACAGACTCAAACAATCAACCACCATAAAGCCTGTTCCTCCAGAGCAAACGCCACCTACTGACAGGACGGCATCTTACACAGCCACTTCCACGGCACCCACTGACTCAATATACAGAGAGTGTCCAATTTCAACCCACAGGCACCACCTAAACTCCTCAAGAAACTAAATCTATTATTGCGCTGTGAATACCTAAACAATAAACCTGAGGGAAAGAACAAACATGAATCGGACTATGGGAAGAAAATTATCAGCGAAAGGAAACTCAGGAAAATATGAAGAACAAAACGGAAAAACACACCCCCAAAGAGGACCACCAAGCCCCCTAGAACACGGACACCGACCAAAATCAGGCCAACCAATAGACAGGAAGAGGAATTTTCGATGTGGATCATTAAGAACACACTCACCAGCTGCAACAACAACTCAATAACCAACACAAAGAGGCAGCACCAAAAAAGTCTCCAGAATGCGAAAAGAAATAGACACATTGAAGAAAAGTGTAAACAGAACTCCTGGAAATGAAGAATCCAATTCAATAGCGACACTACAAAATACAGTGGAAAGTCCCAAGAACAGGGTAGATGAAACACGAAAAGAAAGAAATCTGCAGAAGCTGAAGATAACACCCCTCCAACTTAAATAAATCAGCAACAGAAATAGAGCAGAGAAACAACGAGAAAAAGAGGAAAGCCTAGCAAGAGCTGTGGGATTATGTGAAGAAACCCTGAATGTGAGGGCGTCATAGGGTTACAAAAGGCAAGGGGGAAGAAGAACAACACTCAAGGTTGGACAAGCTGCTTTGAAGATATAATACGAGGAAAATTCCAGCAGGCCTTGCTCAACGAATCTTGAATATACAAGTTCAAGAAAGCCAGTGAGGACCGCTGGGAGATTCAACGGCAAACAGGAAACGACGTCACTGCAATGCAGTCATCAGACTGACCAAAGTATCAACTAAAGGAAGGTCCCTTCTAAGAGCTGTAAGCAAAAGAACGCAACGTAACATACAAGGGAAACCAATGTCGAATAACATCAGACTTCTCTAATGAGACTTTACAAGCAAGGAGAGACTCGGGGCCCCCATTTCACTCTTTGAAAAAAACAATGTTGAATTTTAACTTTTTTTTTTTTTTTTTATTTTTCCCAGCCTAGAATATCTATTCCCTGCAAAACTAAGCTTCGTTAATGAAGGAGAAATAAAAACATTCTCAGACAAGTAAAGGCTCAGAGAATTCATCCAAGACAAAGAACCAGGCCTACAAGATAGTACTTAAAATAGCGTTATGCACGGAACATCATAATAATAACCCAGAATATAAAAACAACCAAAACCCAAAGATATTAAAGGCAGATATGACAATGACTCAAGACAGCAAATTCATAGCAACAACATCCAACCAACAGAGCATGATCAGTAACTACCTCTAACCTATCAGTTCTCCTCAATAAATCGTGGAATGGCTTAACTCCTCCACTCAAGGCAGACATAGGCTGGGCTGAATGGATAAGAAAATACAGGCCAAGTAGGGTATGCCTGTCTTCAGGAAACACATCTACCTGCGAAGGACCTGCATATAGACTCAAAATAAAAGGGTGGAGTCGAATCAATATTTCCAAGCAAATAGAAGCCAAAAGAAGGCTGGTGTGGCAGTTCCTAATTCAGACGATTTAGTTTTGTAACCAACAAAAGTAGTAAGACCAAAGACGGTCAGCTTATATAATGGTGAAGGGCACAGTCCAACAAGAAGATGGCAGTAACAATTTTAAATATATATGCACCCAACTTAGGTGCACCCAGATTCATAAACAACACTTACTGGCAAGCTAAGAAATGGCGATTAATAGCAACTCCATAATCGCCGGAGATTTCAACACCTCCATCTGACGCACCGATACTAGTCCTCCAAACAGAAAATTAATAAAGAAATAATGGACTTAAACAAAACTCTAGAACAATGTGGGTTCTGGGACAGACATCACAGAACATTCTACCCAAAATCCACTGAATATACAGTTCTGTCTCATCAGCTCAGCGGCATTCTCTAAGATTGACCAGGTATCCTAGGACACAAAGAAAAATCTCAAGAAATTTAAAAAAAGAAAATCATGACCAATGTACGCTTCTCAGCATCATAGTGGAATAAAACTAGGAAATCAACTCTAATCAGATACCCACATTTTCTACACAAAAACGTGGAAATTAAACAACCTCTCTACTAAATGATTTACTTTCGTAAATGAAAGAACTCAAGACGAAATAAAAGAAGTTCCCTATTGAAGAAAGACAATGGAGGAGACAAGTTATCAGACTCCTCTGGGACACAGACTAAAGCCATTCTGAGAGGAAGTTTTATCTCCTAATGCCTATAACCCAAAAGACAAGAAGATGCACAATAGACAATCAATCGAAGAACAAGGACTCAAAGATGCTGGAAAAAGAAGAAACAGACCAACCCAAACCCAGCAGAAGACAGGGTGAAATCAACAAGATCAAATCAGAACTGAAACTGAAATTGAAAACAGGAAAAGGCTTATATTCATTGCAGCGATAGTGACAGTTTCATGATTCAATTATTTATTACTACAAGGAGAGAGGTATGTACAGGGATTCTGAGAGTCTAGGCTACAATTCATGAAACACAAAGAAAATCATCTACGACCATTGGCTAGGGCCCGAGAGAACGGACCAAGTCCATCATAACAGAGGATTCCCAACAGAAATCTCTAAATAAGCTCCATCAGGAATACATATACAACAAGGGAAGACGAAGAAGGCAAATAACTAGCATCCCAAAGAAGGATTACAAGATAGACATTTAAAAAGATATAAGAAATCACTACACATGACTAAGGCAATAGGAGCGATCTTATATCACAACCAATACTATATATATACAAGATATAGAGGAAGAATGAACAACACAATTTCGGTCCATAGAAGTATCTAGCGACATAATACACTACACCTAAGTCTCTAACCCAGAGGTATTTATATATGATATTCAACACTGCGTCACAAAGGAACTGAACATACTCAACACTTCTACGAGAAAACAGCGTGAAAATAGAAACAAGCAATTAACAATATCATAACATCTGCCCTATTAAAAAACAAGAAACACTGGAGAAGTCCCGCGATCTCACGTATGAGCATGTCACCACACTGAGCTCTATGGCAATACAGGAATTAAATCGCGATACTTTACAAAGAAGAACTAGTACCTATACTTTGCAGAAACTATTCCACAACATCGAGAAGAACGGAAACCTCCGACACCTTTTATGAAAGCCAAGTATTGACTCTGATACCAAAACACAGAAAGGAGTGCAACAAAAAAAAAAACTACAGACCAATATCCTAATGATATAGATGCAAAAAATTTCAACAAAATCTTAGCTAACCGAATCCAACACTTATTCAAAAATATAATCCACCATGACCAAGTTGGGCTTCTCCCAGGGGATTGCAGTGATTGGGTTCAACACATCGTAAATCTATAAGCAATTCACCACATAACAGAGCAAACAAAGACCACGATGATTCTTTGTAAAAAAAAAAAAAGAAAAAAAAAAGAACAAACTAGGAGGTATCAGTCTTCCTGACTTCAAGCTGTACTATAAAGCAATAATAATTAAATCAGCCTGGTAACGGCACAAGAATAGAGGCATTGATCTTTGGAACAGGACTGAGATTCCAGAGATGAAACCATATGCATATGGTAACCTAATCTTTGATAAAGCAGACAAAAATATACATTGGGGGAGAGAATTTCTTTTCAATAAATGGTGCTGGGAAAACAGGATAGCTACATGCAAAAGAATGAATCTGTATCCCTACCTCTCACCATGTAATACATTAAGCGAGAATTTTACCTACAAAAGTTGGAATAGTACGTAAGAAATAAATTTTCTACGTTAATTATTTAAGTAAAAAATCCACATATTGTAGAATTTTATCACAAGTGATTATAATATCTAATTTACGAATTATTTCCTAGTGATTACTCTTATAAGTCTGTTCTTCTAACATGTATTTATTGGCTAGTTTTTTTAAATAATAAAAACTTACTTGTTGACTGGGATTTCTTCAATGTTAAGATCTGTTTCATAAAACAAACACAAATTTTATATTATTTTTGTGTAAATACTTTTTCTTAAAAGTGCATTTAAAAATATATTTAAAATATTAATTTAAACATAGATGCTTACCTCCTACAAGGGTAGCAAGTGAGCCATCCAGGTTGCTTGTTATAATTGTTCTGTTCTGCTGTCTGGCTTCAACAGGTTTGTGGGCTTATGAAGATAATGTTGGTTGTAATATAATCATGTAGGAAAAATAATCTGAAAACGAGAGACTGAATGAGATGAAAATATAAACTAAATTTATATCAATATAATAATAACATATGTGTACCTTCCCATTATGAACTAACAGGACCTCAAATTATTAGGTGAATAAGTATAAAGTGATCCTCAGTTATTTATTATATAAATTTTAATTGAGCACTTGTTATGTGCCAGACACTATACGAGGCGTTAAAGATATATCAATGAGCAAAACGAATAAAAAACCCCTGCCTTCATGTAATTTACATTCTATCAGAGACAGAAAATAACCAAAACAAAGTATATAATACTCTAGATAGTGGTACATGCTAAGGGAAAGAACATGTTCAGGGAAAGGTATATGATATGTTGGTGAGGAAGATCTGTCCAATAATGAAAGAAGTGGTTTGAAATTGCCCAATATATAGTATTTTCCTCAAGTTCTCTATATTTCTATTAATTTTTGCTTTATGTATTTAGCTTAGTACATGCAGTAATTTGAATTTTAAATCACCGAGAAGGGGACTTTTAAGTAAAGACCTGAATGATGTGAGAGAGTGAACCATGTTGATACTGCAGAAGGAAAGGCATGAACAAAGTCCCTGAGGAAAGAATGTGCTTGGTTTGTGTGAGGAACAGTGAGAAGGCCAATGTGTCTGGAGTTAGAACGACCAAAAAGGTCAGAAAGGCAATTGAAAGGTGGGAGGGGTCAGATCATTAAAGGCCTTGTAAGAGGTTATAATGACTTTGGCTTTTATTCTGAGGCACTGTCTCAGGCCAATTTCCTTGAGACAGAAAAGCCATTGGAGGTATTCGAATAGAAGAGAGATGTGATCTAACTGGTATTTTAATGAGAGCACTCTGCTATGTAAAGAATGGAATGTAGGGAGCAAGGGTAGAAGCAGAGAGGTGGTCATGAAGTTCTTACAGTAGTCTCTATTGATTTTCTGTCTCCCTGGCTTTCACTGCTGTGTCCCCAGTGCCCACAAAGTGCCAGGCATACAGTAGGCAGTAAATAAGTCAGTAAGTCAATAAATATTTGGCAAATGAGGAAATAATATGCAGTATTGCACAGAAATGTATGAAATATATATTCAAAAACCATTTTAGCAATATAACTGCACACAATGACCTAAATTTAAATGTTAATAGTTCACATTTATAATGTAACTATTCAATTGCAATAAATTTTTCACTGCTCTTAGATAATTTTCATTGTCAATTTTTAATAAATGTCAGAATATTTATACCCAAAAATCTATTTCTCAATGATTATGTTAGAATATAATTTTTCAAAAAAGTCATTCTTATATGTAAGATTTTGCTAAAAATCACCCTTCTGAATGATTTAAATTTATTATAACTTCATGTACGGAATCAAGAATAATTCTTCTGTGTTACTTAATGTGAGACTTAAAGGATAAAACTAAGGATGTGGCAGTTTGGATGGACATAAGTGGAGAGAAATGAGAGATCATTAAATAGTAGAATGAATAGGATTTGGTGATGGATTGGATATGAGAGTGAGCGGAAAGGAAGTGTCAAAACAATAACTCCCAGGTAGCAACTGAGCACCTGGATGGATGGCAGTGCCATTTACTACAGCTAAGACAAGCCAAACGCAATGGAGCAAGGTTTGCACAGAGATGGTAAGTGGGAAATTTCATTTTAGATAAAGTGAGATGACTGCAGAACATCCATGTGGAGAAGTCCAGTAGACAGCTGGATATATATAAGTCTGGATCTCTAGACATAAATATAAACAGAAATATAAACTATCTCTGTCTATATATCTAGAATATAGATAGTAATTAAAACCATAAGAGAAGTATCTTCAACCATGGCCAGAAATAGAGAAGAAACATTCAACGAAATCACCAAGGATGTAGAGCAAGTAGCTTTGAGAAGAACGAGCAAAGTAGAAAGTGGAAGGAAGCTGAGACACAGAGAGGTTAAGTGACGTGCCCCAAAACACACAGTCCATGAGTCTTAGAGTGAAATTTGAACCCAAGCACTCTGGCTCCATGACCAGCATTTTTCAATCACAGTAATTTAATTTAAGAGAAAAAGTAGTTTCAGCTGGTCATAGGATTGTCAAGAGAATTGGCTGAAGCAATAAAGGTGGCATGTGTGGAGATCACCAGTAGTTGTCAGTCTTGGACTGTTGGTAATCAGGCCTATAGCCCTTCAAAATATGGTAGTTCCCTCTATACTACAGAAACTACTTCACACCATTGAGAAGGATGGTATCCTTCCTAACTCATTCTACGAAGCCAATATCACCTTGAAACCAAAGCCAGGAAAGGATGCAACAACAAAAAAAATTACAGAGCAATATCCCTCATGAATATAGATGCAAAAATCCTCAACAAAATTTTAGCAAATAGAATTCAGCAGCACATCAAAAAAATAAATCACCATGACCAGGTGGGCTTTATTCCAGGGATGCAAGGCTGGTTCAACCAACATACGCAAGTCTATAAATGCAATTCACCTCATAAATAAAAACAAGAACAAAGACCATATAATTCTCTCGATAGACGCATAAAAAGCATTTGACAAAGTCCAACACACCTTTATGATAAAAACTCTTAACAAAATAAGAATAGGTGGCTCATACCTTAAATTTATCAAATCCATTTATGACAAACCCACTGCCAATATCATTCTGAATGGGGAAAAATTGAAACCATTCCCTCTTCGAACCAGAACTAGACAAGGACACCCACTATACAACATAGTGCTATACAACATAGTGCTCGAAGTCCTAGCCATAGCAATCAGGCAAGAGGGGGATATTAAGGGCATCCAAGTAGGGGCAGATGAGATCAAACTATCGCTCTTTGCTGATATGATATTATACCAAGAAAACCCCATGGATTCATCCAAGAGACTCCTGGATTTGATCAATGAATTCGGTAAAGTTTCAGGTTACAAAATCAATATACACAAATCAGAAGCATTCATATACGCCAAGAACCATCAAGCAGAAACTCAAATCAAAAACGCAATACCTTTTACTATATCCCCAAAGAAAATTAAATATCTAGGAGTGTATTTAACAAAAGATACGAAAGACTTATACAAGGAGAACTACGAAACACTAAAGAGGGAAACTGTAGAAGATGTAAACAGATGGAAAACTCTACCTTGTTTATGGATTGGTACAATCAATATTGTTAAAATGTCAATATTACCTAAAGTCATCTATAGAATTAATGCAATCTCCATCAAAGTACCACCCGTCATTCTTTACAGACCTAGAAAAAATAATTATTCACTTTGTATGGAACCAGAAAAAACCTTGTATAGCCAAAGCAATCTTAAGTAAAAAGAACACACTGGGAGGCATCAATCTTCCTGACTTCAAGCTGTACTATAAACCAATAATACTTAAATCAGCCTGGGACTGGCACAAGAACAGAAGCATCAATATTTGGAATAGAACTGAGATTCCAGAGATGAAACCATCTGCATACGGTAACCTAATCTTTGATAAAGCTGACAAAAATATACAATGGGGAAAAGAATCTCTCTTCAATAAATGGTGCTGGGAAAACTGGATTGTTACATGCAGAAGATTGAATCAGGGTCCCTACCTCTCACCTCTCACAAATATCCACTCAAGATGGATAACAGATTTAAACCTAAGGCATGAAACTTAAAGGATCCTAGAAGATGTTGGGAAAACCCTATCAGACACTGGCCTAGGCAAAGAATTCTTGAGGAAGACCCCCAAGGCAATCACCGCAGCATCAAAGATAAACAAATGGGATCTGATCCAATTAAAAAGCGTCTGCACAGCCAAGGAAACTATCATTAGAGCAAATAGACAACCCACAGAATGGGAGAAAATATTTGCTCTCTACACTGCTGATAAAGGTCTAATAACAAGAATCTATCTAGAACTTAAAATAATTAACAAGACAAAATCAAACAATCCCATCAGGAAATGGGCAATGGAAATGAACAGAAACTTCTCCAAAGAAGACAGAATAATGGCCTGCAACCATAGTAAAAAAAATTCTCAACATCTCTAATCATTAGAGAAATGCAAATCAAAGCCACAATGAGATACCACTTAACCCCAGTGAGAATGGCCTGTATCAAGAAATGCCAAAACAACAAATGCTGGTGATGATGTGGAGAGACAGGAACACTCTTACATTGCTGGTGGGACAGAAAATTAGTGCAACCTTTGTGATAAAGAATTCGGAGATACCTCAAACAGCTAAAAATAGAAATACCATTCAACCCAGCAAATAGCATTGTTAGGCATCTACCCAAAAAAGCATAAGTCATTCTATTATAAAGACATCTGCATCCGAATGTTTATGGCAGCACAATTCACTATTGCAAGGACATGGAAACAATCCATGTGCCCATCAATTCATGAGTGGATAATTAAAATTTGGTATATGTTCACAATGGAATATTACTCAATTCTAAGAAATGACAGCAAGCTAGCACCACTCATACTATCCTGGATTGAGTGAGGCGACACAAGATCAGGAAAATGGGCTCCACATGTACTCGCCATCAAATTGGTGCTGACTGATTAAAACTATGGTGCTCAAATGGTGGTAGTGTAACCAGGGATTGGGGTGGGGGGCAGACCCACATGTTAGGGATGTGGTGAGCATTTTGAAGGGGAAGGGAACACCTCTAACCCTTCCTAGGGAGAGGCAAAGATATAAAATGTAACCAAAATGTCAAAGAAAAAAAAGAAACATTTATCAGGCGTCGGGCGGGTGGGAGGGGGAAGGAGGGGATGGGTGTATAGTTATATAATGAGTGCGATGGGCACCACCTGGAGGATGGATGCGCTACTAGAAGCTCTGATGGGGTGGGGGGGATAGCAAGGGCAATATATGTAACCTTAACAATATTTGTACCCCCATAATATGATGAAATGAAAAAGAGAGAGAAATAAAATAAAATAAAATAAAATAAAATAAAATAAAATAAAATAAAATAGGGTAGTTCCCCTATTTCTCCTACTCTCTACTTGGGATTTACATTCACTTTGGACTGAATCCATAGCTTGTTCTCTTAACCACTATGTTAAATTGTCGTATAATATCTTTCATAAGCACTAATGATTCCTAAACCACACTCAGCAAAGTGAGTGTAGTCAATCTTTTGGAAATGAAGTAAATGTATAGTACGTGGTTTCACTCAAAGGACTTATATTCATCATAGTTGTGGTCAAACTCACCCATTAAAAATGCAGAAGGTGTGTCCATTGACAATATATGTACAAAAGAAAAATAAAAACAACATTTAAAATAGATACAATTTAAATCTTTAAGTTAAATTAAGAACAAAATTTAATTCAAATACATATAGACCCTATGATACTACAGCTCATTATTACATAGATTTGTGTAGAGAATCAAGTAACATCATTGAAACAAAATAACCTATTAAAAAGCAAAATATGTCTGCCTTTGAGTAGTTCTATGTCAGTAAATAACAACCAGCTCTTGAGAAAAGAGAAGACTGATTTGTAGTGTTTGCCCATTTCTGTAGTGTAAGTACTCCCATGTCCAATTTCAAGCCACCAATGTGACATCAATAAGCTATCCAAATTCCTGAAAATTTAATAATTGGCTCTTGTAAGCTGGTATGTGTTGGCTTCAGCACACCATTTAAGTATGAGACAAACTAACCTCACCTTAAGCATTATAAGGTATAACACTGTATGTATATATGTGTTTCTTTGCAAAATTATATATTAATAGGTAATTATTTGCATGATACAAATTCAGAAGTTACAAAAGGGCACAAAGTGAAGACTCTTTCAGCCATTTCTTTCCATTAACCACCACGTTGTTTTTGGAGGCAACCCATTTTAACTCATTTCTTATATATCCTTCCAGAAGTATCCTTTAAGAAATTATAAATACACATGTATTCTTTCTTATTTCTGTTTTAAAAATCAAAAATGATAGAATACTATACTTTGTCCAAACTTTGCTCATTTGTCATTTAACAGTACATCTTGGAGATTGTTTCATTTCACTACATAAAAACAAGCCTCTTATTAATGTAATTTTGCTATTACTATGTTGTAATGAATATTCTTGTTCATACATCATTTCACAGTTGTAAATATATGTTGGATAAATTCCTAGGAATAAAATTGCTGGGTCAAAGACTGCTTCAGGGAGAGGCAGAAGATATAGTTGGTGGTTGAGCAATGGAAAAATTAAAGATTCTAATCCTGTCTTCAGTTGTTACCAACATAATCATGTAATAATATCATATTACCTGCAAAGCAATCTCTACTTGCTGAAGCTTTCACAACTGGACTATTTAGGATGGATGGAATCAATGCATGCTGGAGACTTAAAAGATCACAAGAAAGATGAGGCACTCTAGAGAATAAACAGAATCATATATATCCTACCTAGCTAAGCCTATATTTCTTTGATTCATTGACTTATCCATCCATCTATCTAACTATATACTAACTATATATCTATCTGTGATAGAGATAATTAAGAAATAGCACGGGATTTGTGGTCTAAGAGAGGGTAATAATGTGAATTATATTATAAATTATAATTATAGTCAACATAATCTAAAAAAGTATAATGAATACATAATACATAACCTTTGTAGAAATTTTAGACAATACAAAAAAGTACAAAAAGAAAACTGAAATCAACCATAATTGTTCCACTTAGAAATAGCTAATATGAACATTTTGAGGTAATACACATCAAATTTTATATTATTTAATTTGTTCGTATATGCATATATAGAGGAGTACATGTATAAATGTGTGTATACATACACACATATGTGTCTTGAACATTACTATGTACACTGTATCATGAATGAACAGTTTGCCATGCCATTAAATAATCTTCTAAAATAACAGTTATTCTCACTAGAGGAGCCCCTAGGGGACAGAATCAAGTTCTTGAAAAGAGGGGGACATTCCCATCCCAACCTCTGACTTCGGGAATCATTCGGTTTAATAAAATATGTTCCTTTGGGAAGCATATCACCCTTGTGAAGAGTATGGAATCCTAGAAAAGACTGAAAAGTTCTGTTCCATATCATCATTTAAAATAGCTGAACAGTATTCTATCATACTCATAGCCCATAATTTATTTAGTCAATCTCATATCATTAAACATTTAGGATGAGAGAAATTATTTAGAGGAAAAAAAAAAATTAACCTATGTTAAGACATGTATTAACTTACCTGTAAGGAGGGAAAATGTCATTTTCCTCCTCCAAAGATGCTAAATGCTGTTTTAGTGCTTCAAGTAAACTGTGGGGTGCCTAAAAAAAGATATGGAAGACTTATCATCTGATAGTTTTAGCAAATTCATACCCTTCTATATTACAGTCAGCCTTCCATGTCCATGGGTTCCATATCTATGGATTCAATCAACCACAGATTGAAACTATTCTGAAAACAAACGGATGGTTACATCTGTACTGAACATGTACATACAAACATTTTTCTTGTCATTATCCCCTAAACAAGACAGTATAACAACTATTTATACAGTATTTACATTGTATTAGGTATAATAAGTAATCTAGAGATTATTTAAAGTACATGAGAGGATATGTGTAGGTTATTTGCAAATACTGCATCATTCTCTCAGTGACTTGAGCATTCATGGATTTTGGTTTCCATGAGGGTTCCAGGAATAATACCCCACAGACATGGAAAGACAACTGTATAAAAAATATTTTGTATAAAAATTAAAGCACCTCTATAGAAAATTCATTAAAGAACATGCAGGGGGGCACCAAGAAAATAACGGATGAGAAACACCGCCAGACAGAGTGTCTCTGCAGAAAAGACAGATTCTAGCAGAAATTAGAAGAAAGAAGCAAGAAGGAGAGCCTACATTGGATAAGGGTACGAAGGAGGAGTACCTGAGACCACAGGAGACTCCACAGGACGAGGTCACGGAGGAGAACTGGAAGCTGAGACCCCCAGAGCAGCCCAGGGACCAGCGGGAAGGGTAGGTAAATCAGGCGTTTCCCCTCCCCTACATCCCGGACTGCTGGTGGGCTCTCCAGCAGTTCTAATTTCAGACGATTTAGTTTTTAAACCAACAAAAGTAGTGAAAGACAAAAGGGTCATTATATAATGATGAAGGGCACAGTTCAACAAGAAGAGATAACAATTTTAAATATATATGCACCCAACTTAGGTGCACCCAGATTCATAAAGCAAACCTTACTGGAGCTAAGCAAATGCATTGATAGCAACTCCATAATCGCCGGAGATTTCAACACCCCACTGACGGCACAAGACACATCCTCCAAACAGAAAATTAATAAAGAAATAATGGACATAAACAAAACTCTAGAACAATTGGGTCTGACTGGCATTTACAGAACATTCTATCCAAAATCCACTGAATGTACGTTCTTCTCATCAGCACACGGGACATTCTCTAAGATTGACCATATCCTAGGACACAAAGTAAATCTCAAGAAATTTAAAAACATAGGAATCATACCATGTATCTTCTCAGATCACAGTGGAATAAAAGTAGAAATCAACCCTAACAGAAACTCACATTTCTACACAAAAACGTGGAAATTAAACAACCTCCTACTAAATGATTACTTCATATGAAGAAATCAAGATGGAAATTAAAAAATTCTATGAAGAAAATGACAATGGAGAGACAAGTTATCAAATTCTCTGGGACACAGCTAAAGCAGTTCTGAGAGGAAACTTTATCTCGATAAATGCCTATAACAAAACTCAAAAAGATCACAAATAGACAATCTAATGAAACGACTCAAAGAGCTGGAAAAAGAAGAACAGACCAACCTCAAACCCAGCAGAAGAAGTGAAATCAACAAGATCAAATAAGAACTAAACGAAATTGAAAACAGGGAAGCTATCCAGGAGATTAACAAAACAAAAAGTTAGTTCTTTGAAAACATAAACAAAATTGACACGCCACTGGCTAAGCTCACCAAAAGCAGAAAAGAGAAATCTCTAATAAGCTCCATCAGGAACAAAAAAGGAGATATCACAACTGATCCCAAAGAGATACAAGATATAATTTATGAGTACTACAAAAATCTTTATTCACACAAATTGAAAAATGTGGAGAAAATGGACAAATTTCTAGAAACACACAGCCTCCCTAGGCTCAATCAGGAAGAAATAGATTCCCTGAACAGACCAATCTCAAGAGCTGAAATAGAAACGGCAATTAAAAATCTCTCTAAAAAGAAAAGTCCCGGTCCAGATGGCTTCACACCTGAATTTTACCACACTTACAAAGAAGAACTAGTACCTATCTTGCAGAAACTATTCCACAACATCGAGAAGAACAGAAACCTCCCGGACACCTTTTATGAAGCGAATATTACTCTGATGCCAAAACCAGGAAAGGATGCAACAAAAAAAAGAAAACTACAGACCAATATCCTTAATGAATATAGATGCAAAATTTTTCCACAAAATCTTAGCTAACCAAATCCAGACGCTTATCAAAAAAATAATCCATCACGACCAAGTGGGCTTCATCCCAGGGATGCAGGGATGGTGCAACATACGTAAATCTATAAATGCAATTCACCACATAAACAGGAGCAAAAACAAAGACCACATGATTCTTTCAATAGATGCAGAAAGAGCTTTTCACAAAATTCAACACCCTTTCATGATACGAACACTTAAGAAAATAGGTATAGAAGGGACATATATAAAAATGATACAAGCCATATATAACAGACGCCTAGCCAACATCATACTGAATGGGGAAAAACTGAAAGCATTCCCACTTAGAACTGGAACCAGACAAGGCTGCCCACTATCTCCACTTCTATTCAACATAGTGTTGGAAGTCCAGGCTACAGCAATCAGAGAGGAAAGTGGAATTAAAGGTATCCAAATAGGGGCAGAAGAGATCAAACTTTCACTCTTTGCTAATGATATGATATTATATTTGTAAAACCCCAAAGATTCAACCAAGAAACTCCTGGAACTGATCAATGAATTTAGTA